AACGGAGGGTGGAAACAAGAAGCTTTCCATTCAACGATCCAAACCAAATCCGTCGACGGGAGCAATCCCGAAGAGCATAAGCTTCGATATGAGCGCTGAAAAGACTTATAAAGAAATCGACGAAGATTCTAAGAGTAAGCGCGGCGGATTCTTCGGCAAGTTTCGCATCTCGAATTTCAGACCGAAACGGGGAAAGTCCATTAGAGGATTAGACGATTGCGCAAACGGCGCTCGCATGGAGAACGTAAGCTGTGATGATGATTCTAGATTTAGGAAACCGTCCGATTATGTAAAAAGTATTAATCCTGTATCAGCAACAGGTAATTTATCAAATCACATTTTATTCAATAATATGTAATAATAATTCTGTTATTATAGAATTGTCTGAAGATATTTTGGCAAAGTATCGCACGAAGCACACGAACGAAAATGGTCCAACGAATCTGATGAAAAGTGAGAAAGTTGCTGAAATAGATGACGCTCAATTATTGAATTTGGATGATTCGATCAGCTTGAATAACCTGTTCAATGATACCAAGAAGAAGTTGCGTCTGGTGTTGAGCAATTCGAAAACACATCATTTTAAAATTAATAAGGTTTTTACTTTTACACATATTTAACTTACGATTTCTTAATTCCCTTTTATTGTAGGACGGCAAGAAGCACGTAAAGAAGGATCTGGAATCTTTTCTGCAACTCGAACTGGCCAAAGCTCGTGATCTTAAGCAGTGGTCGATAGCTGCACGAGTTGCTGAGGCTTTGAGGTGCGTCAGACTTTTAGATATTGGGGGTTTCAATAAGCTCTGCGAAGACCTGAAGTCTGAGTATTCGGGAAGATCTGTTTATTTGCAATACCTGCTGAAATCCAAACAAATATTACTTTCTTCGCAAGCGTTTTTAGATGAGTACGTACATTAGTTTATATATTTAGGCGGTTTTCATTAATTACGTTTCTAGGTTACTGGAGCAAGTCCGCAGGGAGCAGGAATCATGCGGTAATTTCTTAGTGTCCGTTTGCGTGCGCCTCTTTCTGGATATACACGAACAAGATTTGCAACGTTTCTGCACGGAATTCAAGCGCCTTACATTGGTGGACGAGAAGAATGACTTGCTACTGTTGTTTTTAAAGGACATGTACAAGAAGATGAAAGTTGACGTTTTTTGGGACGGTAAATTTAGATTCCTTCGATGATGAACGGTAAATAGTTTACTAATGATTTATTTTTAGGTGCCAGTGATGAACAAATTCAAATTGCCCAATTGGCCATTGAGAGGTCTGTTATGACAGAAGTGTACGTTTACGCGCTCTTCCCGAACGGAGATGGGGATCGTCACAGGGATAGGTAATGGTTGCAATTTGTGTATTCTTGTATTGATTCGAGTGTTTTGCAGTTTATTGAATGAACATTTGAAGAAACTGGCCAGCACAATAACACCAAGCCATAAGTACATCATGATCAATAAGATGTACCAGAACGAGTGTCCCTGGTTGCCAGCTCAAGAGGCCTTACAAGCCATGGCTGCCTACCGAACTCCCAGAGAGAAGGTCGTCTGCGTATCTAGGTGTGCCTCTGCCATCATGGACCTGTTATCATTGGCTCAGACTGTTTCTACTACAGCCGATGATCTAATGCCAGTACTCGTTTACGTTATAATACAGGTAATGTAACCTTCAATCACCACATAATTAATAATTAATTAACGTTATTCGTAGGCCAATCCGCAAGACCTCCTTTCGACCATGCAATACGTAAATTCTTTCTTTGGTAACAGCTTGACCGGCGAGGATATGTATTGGTGGACGCAGTTCTGTGCCGCTGTAGAGTATACGAAAAACCTGGAGTACACTGATTGACATTTGCTTTACTATAGACTCGTTGAACGTTATTAGGTGCTAATTACATGTAACAGTTACATTACGTTGATCGATTTATTAGACGCAACGGATAACAACCTATGCTTCCTTTTAGAGTAAAAAAATAAACATTGTATATCAGAATGAAATAGAACCGGGAGAAAAAAAAAATTGGATCTAAGAAGGATAAAGTAAATAATAATAAGCTAATTGAGTAAACGCTCTCGCTCAATTAATTTCAATGTAAAACAAATACAAAAAAGGTATTACCGCATCATGTATGATTTTAAAATATTTTTCTATATATGTTTATATATTTTTTTTAACACTTAATCGATTGGCATTTGTTTCTTATTTTCATTGTTATTCTTTTTTTATATATGTTGTTATATTGTTGTTACGTTATGTGTATAATTTTTTTTCGTTTATTCGATATGTATTTGTTTTTTTTATTAAGATCCAATGAGGGCGTGATAACAGGGAATCCGAGTAACAAACAAATTTGATTTTGTTAGTGAGCCAATTCTATTGATTGGGACAGTTTTAATTTTTTTTGGTGCTTAGATTGTTTTAGCACACAGAATGATAAAGTAAATATTATATATATATATTTGATTGTAGATCGATTTATTTTTATGGTATTTATATATATACACTAGTTATGAACAAGAAACAAAAAGTATTTTCCACCGCACTCACGTAATTAGCTGCTTTTTTTATAACCAGAATTGAAATCGATATTATTTTTGTACCGTTCCAACAACAAGAAAAAAAAACTACTTTCCGTTTTAATTAACATATAATCGATAAGTAATTTATATTTATTATAACATTAATATTATATAAAAATAAAGATACAAAGTATATTAATAATATTAGCTGCTTTTGTAATTATGTTAATGTTTTTAATGTTTGATATAACAATATTCAATGATCCAATTAATAACATCATTCTACATATATTTTATAAACTACATTAAGACCAAATATTAACATATTGCTTTGTAGATACATTCGATTCCGTTTAATCGGGACAGTCGCTTATTAGGGACAAATCCCAATTTTATGTCGTAATAATTTTATAAAAGTCGAGTTGAGATCGTCGTGGAGAGCGCACGTGTTTTTTGTGCGCTCCCGATACTCGTTTGCATTTTGGTTTGATAGCATTCTCTCTGTGAGAGGTCGTCTTGTTAAAGATTGCATCTTAGTGGAGTGGCGGTATTCTTGTGATACAACAATAAGGGGAAGACACCGGTAAACTTTAAATTAAAACCATAATTAAGCAGAGAACAACATGGAAGATGACTTGCTGTTTCATTTGGAACGCAAATTAACAAAAACTTATCTTCTGTTAAAAACCGGGCTCGAACGTCCTACTTTGCTATCAGTTACTACTTTTTGTAAGGAGTAAACCTTCTCAAAAATCTGAAACCCAAAGTGTTATCCGTACTGTGCTGATAGGTGCATGGCCTTGCAATAGTGGGTTTTGACCTGGTAACCTCCGGTTGTAAATATTACCTTGCTGTGGTAAGCCGGCTCTGCTGCAGTTGACATCTTTTCCGAGCCTACTCGTGTTGAATCCCATGAATTACCTAAAGAAAAAATCGATGGTACTGATTTCGAAAAGATTAATCCGTTTCTAATTGAAAAGACCATCTATGGAATAATTGGAGAAATAAAGAAAATAAGGGAAGGACTATTAGTGGAAGTCTCCACTAATAAACAATCTGATAGATTAGTATCGATAACAACTTTTGGAGGTCTGGCGGTAGAAGTAATTCCGCATAAAACACTAAATTTTAGCAAAGTAATATACTGTCCTGATTTACTCAATTCTACGGAAGAGGAAATACTAGAAGAGTTGAAGGGAAAGAACGTTACAGAGGTGCGAAGAATCAAACAGAAGAGGGATGGTGAATTGAAGGACACTCCTTCTCTTCTCCGCACGAAGGCAAGCCCTGTGAAGAGCCGTTCAAATGTGTTAACTGTGGTGGCGACCACTCGGTCAGATACTCAAAATGTCCAAAATACTTACAGGAAGCAGAAATTCAGAGAATCGAGACAATTGAAAAAATACTGTACTACGAAGCAAAAAAGATCTCCACTGCTATGCATAGCAGCAAAACTTATGCACGTGTAACTTCGTCTCCGGCCCCCATTTTTACGCCCCCTAGCTTGATATTAATGCCATTTCCGCTGTCTTGGTCTCGCTGGTAGTCCAGGCAATAAAAAAAGAACTGAACATCGCTCCGACTAACGCCTGAGCCTGTGGACCCACCAGCTTCTGAGGAGACTGGTAGAGAGGCGCCGGATATCGATGGTGCCTTCAAGGGCGCCGGGCCCGTCGATTGCTTCTTGGAGATTATAATGCATATAACCCGATGTGGGTTCAATACGGAGAGATCTTAGAGGGGCTTTTCTTTAGCGGATGCTTGATGAGTCTAGTGCAATCTTGCTGAGCTCAACTCTACCGACTCATTTTAACGCAGCCAACGGCTCTTTCTCATCCATAGACTTAACTTTCTGTTCGCCAAGGCTGGCTCTGGGTCTTAGGTGGCGTTCCCTTGACTATGGCACTATACGGAAGTGATCACTATCCTATTTTAATAACCACAGACTTTGCTAGAACTCCACGATAGGTTCATGGACTTTGGCGCCTCGGGTCAGCAAACTGGCAGGGTTACTGTGATGATTTAGTTTTTCCTGACCTATCAGATAATATTAAGATAACAGTAAAGGACTTCATTGACAGGATTACATGATCTGCTGAAATTAATATCTCCACAACAAGGAGAAATTTTCCTATAGATATTCAGATGCTACTGAATTATACTCATCTAAGATACTAAGATTGCTGTATCATCAGCAAATGTTGCAATCGTAGTATTGCTAGTTTTAGCAAAATCTGCCATGTATAGCAGGTAAATCAATGATCCTAAACTTTTGAATAAAATGTTTATATCAATAATTTTACTGATTTGAATCAATGTATGTTTTATAGTAGAAATAGTAATTTTTTAACAATTTCTTATAATTTACTAGAATCACCATCAATCATCTTAAATTATTTACAATCTTCGATAATATTCTACAAGGAGGATTACAACATATGGGTACCGCCACAAAATCAAACGGGCGACGGGAGGACGAGTTTAAACGGAAAATTCGTTTACTGAGAATTATTCCAGGTACGCGTGTATTAAGACCTTGATGGACTTCAAGCCAAACCGATAGGCCCCGCAAGTGACCAGCCCCCTTTTGCAAGAGTGCACGCCCACCGACAACGGTTCCAGAATAGCTCCTTCCTCGAAACTGACGTGATTAGGTAACTTGTAGCAAAAATCTGTTGCATGTCAAGTTTCAATCGTAAGGAGGCGTGGCGCAAAAGGCCATCTTCAAGCAGAGATTGTATCTGCCCTCCTTGCAGTAATTGAACATTCGGCAACATTCGCCCAGTACGATGGCCACACGATCTCCTACTTTCAAATGGGTCACATCTTTGCCCACTTTTACCAATGTCCCTGAAGCCTCGTGACAAATAACCATTGGTTGTTTAACAACGAAATGACCAATGCGACCTTGCTTCAGGTAATGCACATCATATCCGCAAATTCCAACCATTTCCATCTGCAGAAGTACCTCTAAAACATAATCAATATAAAGTCTTACGGTTTCCATTTGGCGTTGGAATTGGACGTTGTTCCTAGAATTCAATTAGATTATATTCCGTAAAGCACTGGTGTTAAATTATAGCCTGCCAATTCGAAAATTTTCTAAGAAGCAAAGTTTGATGTAAGAGTACTCCAACTGCTGCAGCAAGTTTATCGAATTGAACTTTCAACATACATGTTTTTTTATTTAATAAATACTGTGGAACCTCGCATAACGAGCATTTCGCTTAGAGAGCAAAAAGAATAATAAGAAAAATGACTGCTTAATGAGCGACGTTTCGCATAACGAGTGACGATGAGAAGAAAAGTCCTGGATTGCGCGCCTGCTACATCATTTTTAAAACTTGTGTATTTTTTAATATGTTTCACTATACGAGTAAAAATCCGTAAATTTTGGAACGGATTAAACTCGTTAAGAGAGGTTCCACTGTACTCTTAAGCAAAAATTTCAACATAATTGAAAACATATTTTTTAAAAAGGATGTCACCATCATGAATTAAAATATTTTTTAAATAAAATTTGTCAACTATGACTTAATTATTGTTAAATAAAGTAAATTTAAACGAGAAATTTTAAAAAATTCACTTGGTTGAAACCGATGGCATTTTACAAACATTGGATATAAAAAGTTATACAATTCATGACGGTAGAGGCTCTTCCAGAGGGAAGAAGTAGGAGGAAGAAAAAAATCATATAAGGTCTCTGCCATTATTTAAAATTCAAAAATACATTATATATTGTTATCTGTTTGGCAGGGGACCTTCAGAGTTCAAAGACAAAGCAGAACAGCGATAACACAAAACATGTCAAAAAAGAACAATTACTAAACAGAATATCGAAAAAAAATTATAAAAGTTCAAGCAAAATAGAAATAAATAAATCACAAAGATTGACTATAGCATCAATTATAAATGTATGTATTTAATTATGTTATCTACATAACTTTAATACTTTTTTCCGATGTTCTGTTTTGTCATATGCTCCTTTTTGTAGTGTTCTTTTTAATCGCTGTTCTGGTTTGTCCAGTTAACCTTCACATGATAGAGGAAAATGTGACATTTCTTTTTTATAGTTGGTATGGTTAGATTCCTTATGATTTAGAGAAGATTTTTGATCTGAAATCTGTTGACATCTGTTGAATTTAGTTAACTTTGTGATAATAAGTCTTTTTGAAGTTTGCTTATTAAAATATTTTGTCTTATTTCACAATATTTTTATAAACAATTATGAAGAACACAAGCGAGTAAGTAAAAATTATTCTTTTTAGGTACACGATTTTAAAGAAAGTAAAAACCTTAGTCGCGCGAATCACAACAACCTTAATTACAACTCTGTCAACAACTTACTAATGTTTTGATTTGTATACATTTTTTTTTCACTTACGCATTTTGTGTTGGTTCGTAGCATACCATGAAAAACTTTAATTAAAATATTAAATTGTATGATTGTTAGTAACTTAAAAGCTAAGCAAAAGGTGGTACAGTTTTTAACCCACCTAACCTTAAAAAGTAAATTATTATATGTTGTGTCTTAGGATGGCTGTTACTTGTTGCGTCCAAGGCTGTAAGACTAAAAGCGGCGATAATATAGTGATGAGAAAATTTCCTCCAGTCGATTCTCCATTGTTCAAGCAATGGAAAATTACTATGAAGAATAAGTCATTGAAACATAAGGATAATCAATATATGTTGAAAACACAGTATGTTTGTAATCTTCATTACACTGAAATATACAGAAAAAAACCTATCTTTGTTCTTTACGATTGTCCACTGTCGACGAAAAATATTTTGAAAGTAGTAAAGGTTAAACAAGTTGATGATAGTAACTGCATTGTTTGTGAAAATGTTCAAAATTTAAATCACTCTTATTGTAAAACAGAAGAAGTTAAGTCTGAAGAAATGAGTATCACTGTTGACAGTGATAGAGCTTATGATAACAATATTATTAAATTAGATCACTGCTATTATAAAACAGTACAAGTTGAATCTGAAGAATTGAGTATTGTTTCCGACAGAGCTGTTGATAACACTATTATTACTTTTGATGACTCCTTTTGTGAAACAGTAGAAGTAGAAACTGAAGAAATGAGTATTGTTTCCGACAGAGCTATTGATAACAATATAATTACTTTTGATGACTCCTTTTGTGAAACAGTAGAAGTTGAAAGTGTTGTTGTCGATAGTGTGAAAACATTAGAAGAAATAAGTGATGATAAATTGAATGTTGATTTAAAAAATAATAAACAAATGCAGACTTCTGGAGGAAAAATAAGCAGAAGGGAAATGCTAAGACAAATTCGTGATTTACAAGATAGAAATAAGAAACTTAAAACAGAATGTAGAGGATTTCTAAAATTTAGAAAAATGAATAAAGAAATTCAAAATTTTTTAACAAGTCAACTATACAATGTCGACATGAATGAGGGAGAATACTATAGGTTAGAAGATAAGGTACTTGCGCTTCGTATATATAAGGAAAGTAAGAAATGCTATAGATACTTATCAAATATTTTTAAGTTACCATCGGAATCAACACTTATGAGTTTTGTTAGTGAAAATTTGAAACATCTTTAAACCCTTAAATAACAATACAATTGGGGCGGCCGTAGCCGTGTGGCTATGGTCGCCTGTATCACAAAAATCTGATACGAAAGTCGTTGGTTCAATTCCGAAAATCAACAAAAATTTGTGGTGGCTGTTAAACCCGAAAAGGGGTAGAAATAGGGCCGGAGAGATTTATGTCAATAAATAAATTGATATAAATCTCTTAAACTTAAAAAAACAATACAATTGACAAATACTTATATCAATGATGAACCGGTTTTTAAATCTGTCTATAGATTCTTTAAATAGAACAAATAATTATTTTAAATAATTGTACCATTTGCAATATGACAGTATCAACACAAGGGAAGGATTATCATTTGTTGAAATGGATAAAATTATAATAATGCAAATGATTATAGAACATATTGTTCAGAGATTCTTCTGCTCACACTCACTCATTGATATCTTTAAAATACTTTATTATATTTGGCCAGAGAGATATGATACCTATATATTGATAAAAGAATATTTGTGTAAGAAAATGATTTGGAATTTAAAAAAATGTGTGCACACAAATGATTTACTGGATCATGTTTTAATAAAAGTTTATGAAATATGTTTGAAAACATTAAATGAAATTTTAAAACAAGATATGTTTTTGAAGAAAGTTTATTAGAATATTCAAGAAAACATAAAAGATCAATGACTAAACACTAGTACTCTAGTACTATCATCAATAATATTGTAAATGACCATCTATGAAGAGGAAGCATGTGGACAACACAGGACAGGTAATTAATCAATTAATCAATGTATTTAAATCACTACTAATCAATGTTTTTTGTTTAGATTGGATGGATCAAACACGAGTAAATCTGAATCATCTACAAGGAGGGAGTATGTGGACAACACAGGAGAGGTAATTTATCAATTAATCAATATATTTAAATCAAATTCCCGACATGCCGACTGTATCAAAATCTTTGAATTTATTCCGGAGTGTAGTCACTATCTACTATATTTTTATAACTTGAAAATAAAAAAATATTTTTATTAAAAAAAAGTAAAGAAAACTCTTTAAAAATGAGAATCATATCATCATAATGGTAACTATCCACCGGGAAAGATTATACATTTAATGTCAACCGCGATCTTAAATTTTCTCAATATTCACAGGGATGAACAGAATGTCTAACCATTATAATTGTTAACAATTACATTGGTGGAAGTTTCTTTGTACTTATGTATTTATTTATGCAATAAGACGTATAGATTAAGAGACTTCGTAAATACGTAGATTTCTCTATTAACAATTATAATAACAATGTTAGACACAACAATCTCACATTTTTAACAGTGTCACAGTTTTGTTATTAAAAATGTTATTCAATGTTTTTTGTTTAGATTTGATGGATCAATCATGAGTAAACGTTGACCATCTATTAGGGAGTATGTGGACAATACTAGAGAGGTAATTTATCTATTAATCAATATATTTAAATTCTATTAAACAATGTTTTTTTTTTGTTTAGATTGGATGAATCAAACACGAGTAAACGTGGGCCATTTATGAGGATGGAGTATATGGATGTGGAGCATCTTTGGAGTTGTTAATTAGTATTATCTCAACTGAAGGTCCCACACTTTGGTTCAGTCACCATAAATTAATACTTTAGAATTATATAACTAACTACATGCAAATTACCGAAGTTGAGACTGTGATTAATTTAAATTGAAAATAAGTATATAAAGAATATAACTTTTTATTATTATAAAACCCGTATACCACCAAGTTTGTAATGTAATTAATCGAAGTTGGTAGTAAACAGCGGTTGAGGGATTTAAATAGTGCGCCTGTTTGTCAAGAAGGTTGAATGCAACGTTCAAGAGATGTCGCTGCGAGTTCACTTTTAAAATTCCATTGTTTTTACAGACGTACCACTATTTGATTGTGAACGTCTTTGTATACTCTTTTTTTTTTTTCATTATTCCTCTCGTGTGCCGTTGCCAGCGAGGAGTACACTGAACGGGATCGAGTGAGAGGCGAGTGGAATTCGGGTTTCGGAGGGTTGTGCGAAGACCTGCTTGCAGTTCTTCCTTCAGGTCGCGATCGACCTGTTAACACTTGGGCACTTTCGTGGTGCGTTTGATATAATTATGAAAAGCCTGCAACAGCCGATGCGATGTATTATACCACCACGGCGGTACAGTGTTTTATTACCTGAGGACGGTGTCAATAAACTCTAAACCGAAGGTGTGCCGTGCACATAAATCGGGTTGTGAAAGTGAAAATTAAAATTACAACATTTATTCGATATTTCTTAATTGTTCGAAGAAGTTGATACGAGAGTTCGCAGCTGGCATACGCATATATACACACACCACAAATTCTGCACGACAATCTTCGATCGCATCTGTTTATTGTTGTTGATGTTTTGTTGTTATTATTTACCTTCCTTTGCCGGACTGATTTATCGATGACACGAGGATATGTAAACAAGGATTCGATGATAAGGAGGGAACGGTGAGTAAATGTCATGATGAGTCTTCATGCAGATGACGGTGATGCGAAAACACCGCATTAAAAACATCTTCCAATTCGAATTCCTTTTGCAACTTGTACTGTTATAGGTTAAGGTTGAAATTGATGTTTCCCACAAGAAGCTATCCGTTTCTGCATAAGTATTTTTTCTTGTCAGTATGTTTATTTATCAATCCCATTGCATCATACAGCATTCCTATTGGAATTGCTGGAAAGTTGTTATAGGTTATGATCATTGAAGGCATAGCAACATACTTGTTTACATATGGTTGCAAACCTTTGTTTTCTTTTTTGCAATTTGTTGAAGCAACAATAGTTTTCTTACAAAATACACTACTATAAATGTTATTACTAATTATTAGAAAATTTTACTACTACTAGTTTATTGACGATTTATAGCAATATTTATTTCATCCTAGTAACAGAAAAGCAGTAGTCCTCAATTAGTCTTGGATTAGTCCGATTAACCGCACTATGCGAGGTATTAAGATAAAAAAATGTATTTATGTGAATAGCAAATGCCAACGATTTTCATTCTTACTTATTTATTTACTATATAACTAATATTAATTTAGAAAAATGAGGCATATTTAAGTGAAATTAAACTAATTAAATAATTACGCGACAATATGAAGCTGCAGGTATAGAGTAAATAAAATTGTGATGCATTCAAGAACATTAAATTCTGCGATCAATTAGAATTATTAAGATATCATTAGTGAAATAGGTACATTTGCTCAAAAGGCGCTATTACGTAAATTGCTACCATAATCATTACAATTGGTGAAACTGGTACATTTGAGCAAATTGAAAGTAACAACTTTTAAATTAGCATTACCTCGCTTAGTGTGGCTTCAACTACTGCGGATTTACCAACAAAAAAAAAACTAAATTTTAATTGAACCATCTAAAAATAGATAGGACAGAAAGACCTATGGTCAATAGCCCTTTGCAACACTTGAATTATATTTTATTTTTTGTTATTGTATTGAGTTTTTATTGTTGCAATAAATATTGTTAATATTAAAAATTTGCACTGTTTATTTTTATTATCTTCGATTAGTCCGGTTTCAAGGAATGTTGAATCAATTACCCGCGCTATGCGAGTTATTGCTCTGTTGAATACTTAATGAAATTGATAAATCTTTGAGTTTGTCAAATTCGTATAAAAATATTTTCAAGTGAAAGCGGATTTTGTTAATGCGAACATATTAATAATAAATTTGCTAAATTTAGTAATATTACATCTCTTATATAATACAACATATTTTTCTTAAGTGATTAAAGTATTTACGTTGTTTTAATTGGCGAATGTAATACAAAAAAAATATGCGCATTTCAGAGAGTTATGTGCAATGCGTCATTGGTATTTTTTCACTTCCGGTGTTGGCAGGTAGGTGCGCCAATCTTTCGGTGTTAGATGATTGGCAAGGGAAAGAAATGAAACGAAACCAGAACTTAGTGACTCACTTGATGATTAGGAATCTCGTGTTTTTTTTTTAGCTGCAAGGGACACGTGTATACTAAAACAAAAAAAAAGTGTTAATACATTGGAAACAAGTTTTATGTTAACGCGTTTGGTTATATCTCTTAATAAAGATAACAGCAGTTTACTTTTAATTAGTCTTCACATTTTCTTTTAATTCTTCTATTTTCATAACATTAAAACCTAATAGTAATTGTACATTTTAATGTTGTATAATCATTATAAAATCTTATAATATTATCATTATTATTATCAAAGAAGGTATTTACAATACAATTTATTGTTGCATATTATTTACTTTATGAAATGAATTGATGACTTCAAAAGGTTATTCTTGCAATAAGTTAACAACTTTTAAATTAAAATAAATTAGATACAAATTTACAGATACGAAATTGAATTGCTTCCAAATTCAAGATTTTTACTATACTTACCAACTAGTTCCATTCCAAAGGGGTAATTAAAAAAAAAAACAAAATATTCTTTATTATTGTTTTATATATGTGAAATTCCGTATTACTGACTGCATAAATTTGAAAAAATAAATTAAAATAAACAAAATACTTATAAATACTTTTCGACAAAAGAAACAAATGCAACAAAACTCCCAAAAATATTTTACTTTATTAAATAAATTATCAATTTTGTTCGTAAGTCGGGGGATACCTGTATTGGATCATTTAAAGTATATGTAATACATTTTAATGATTTAAATTGCTAAACGAAATTAAAAAAAAAACATGTAACTTAAATCTGGACGTATAAAGTCTAATTTAATTAAGAAGATATCATTAATTCTTAAATAAAAGAGTTAGTTTTATTGAGAACAAGGTAACTTTAATAATTTAAAATATTGACAAGTAAATAATAAAATTATTCTATTTAATGTACATTTATTTATTACGAACTAATATTAATATTTCCAATATCGAAATACATAAACTTTTTTTTTGACAAAAGAATCAAGAAAAAGTTGCATTTGAGTTAGAATTCTAATTTGAATTGTTGCAATATCAACGAAAAAATGAAATAAATAGTAATAATAAGACATACATAAATTAATTTGACATAAAACTTCAGCCGTTTTAACCTAATTCAACAAGTTTTAACTAAGACAACATTACTTTTATACAGGTATAACTGATAGAATGTTAATACCAGTATTGCGTAGAAAAATAGATTTACTCATTACTAGTTAAACTCATATATTTTAGATGTTACACGAATTCTCAAATTTAATTATTAATTCTATTAATATTTCATTTATAACAAGATAAACTAATAAAAGTCTAATATATTACCTAATTTTAGATTATTCTGTAGTTGTTTTATAAAAGAAACAATCTCTTTCAATTTTATTAGTTCAATGGGACAGTGGTCAATTTCTATATCATCGTTTTGTAGAAATCAAAGAAGTAAATTGTAGAATAATGTATATTTTCTTTATTATATAGCAATAATTGTAGATTGGGCGGATGCGGAGTAATAGAGGATGGCAGTAAATCGAATATTGCAATAAACAATGTATGTCACGGATAATGCAATATCTTTTATTTATGTATATAAGATTTTCTTTTGTATTACTTTTTTACTTTGCGCGGTGCGGTAATTCAAATGAATAAAATGAGATCTGCACTAAGTGAATCAAATAAATTTCCGACTGATCGGTTTCTTGCGGTGTCGAAAAAGCACAGGGACTTGCACAGCAATCACGGCCGTTTTCCGCGATATTAATTGACTCCAAATGTCCTTCCAATAATCAATCAAAAATGCCGATACCAATCGTGGTTTCTTTTCTTTCTCTCTCAACTGCCATTCCTTTTTTCCTACCCTACATATCCATGTGGATCGGTTCTGCTCTACCTATTTCCTCGTGGGCCGAGAGACACATTTGAACGTAATTTAATTGCCCGGTGAAACAATACCATTCCGTTCAAAATAGAGAAGAAGAAGTAGAAGGAAAAAAAAAACGTCAAATAGAAACAGAAATAAACGTTGTGAAGCAAGCGACAAAAAAGACAAAGACATAATAACAGAACCAATTAAGTGTTAATTTATACAACGGTGGTTTGCAGCAGATAAAACGCGGATTATTTAGAGGTGAAAAACCTACGCGGCTTCTTGGAACAAAGGAGTTTTACAGTTTGTTGCACAAACGCGACGTTTACATACTTCATTAGGTTTCCGCCGTATCTCTTTTGCACGAGGAACTACACACACACACTTTCATTTGAGCTGCAGAAGAATGACCAGAAACTAACGCAATGCAACGGTGTAGGAAAAAGGCGGTGATTCGTGTAATGCAATTTAATTGCTCCTGTTATATTTATTAAATACCATGAATGTACAATTATCTCAAAAGCAAAGCAACTAATACGACGAAGGAGAAACTGAAGAGAGAAAAAAATCTGCATCGGATAAAAAAATCCTTTGGCATGTATCACATGCACCGTCGACAGTGTCCACCTGTCAATTTAATGGTGATTATTAAAAGCGCATTCTTGGCTTCGGCCACAAGAATACCTTGTACAATTTTCCTTGCAAATAAAGCCTCTGCATATAATACCTGTCCGCGGTGATCGCGTATTTTTGCTTTTATCCGAAGTTTTAAGTAAATGATTGAGCAATTGCGAGCGAGAGAACCTTAATATACTCGTCAACGGAGATGAAGCAGGATGAGGACAAAAAAAATATATAAAAAAAATAAATAAATGGTAGTACAACTACAGCGAGATGAA